AGGCCTTTGGCATCCATCCACTTTGTGTAGAGACATTTCTGTCTTGCAGCACAGTCCTTTCTGCACCACCTCATGCTTGCCTCTTGAGCCCTCCATAGGACATCTGACCTCACAACAAAGCCTCACATCTGCCCTCCCTTCCATGGTCCCTAGCTTGGCCATTTTCTAGTTGGCTGAACTCAAAATCCAGGCTTGGTTCTAGATGCCATTTTAGGGTCTTGCTATATAGTTCAGGCTGCCCTTGGATTCACTGTGGAGCCCAGGCTGGCCTCATACTTGTGATTCTCCTGCCTCAGCCTCCTAAGTGCTGGGATTACAGATATAAACCACTATGCCTGGCTGGCTCTATCTTTTGATACTCAGGCAGTTACAAAATCCTGTTCTTTCCAAGATGTATCTACAATCTATTGCTTTATTTCACTTCCGTTACCCATACCTGGTCCAAGGCCCCTTCACCTTGCACCTAGAAGGCTGCAGCTGCCTCCTGACTGTCTCCCTACAACCACCCTAGACCCTGCTATGTGACCTGTCCCTAGGGGAAACCAAAGTTGTTCTTAAGCATGAGTACAGTGTCTCAGCACCAAGGTCACACGCACAACATGCTAATCCCAAATGCTGGGATGTTTCCCACTCCCATGTCTCTGCCTGAGTAACTACTTCTTATCTTTCAGTTCACACGTCAGCTCCTTACAAGAGCCATTTTCGATCGCTGACCAGTCCAGAGAGCTTTGCTAGTGCTTCTCCAGCACCAAGACCTCACCTCCGGGCACTTGTCAAGCAGTCATTCGTAAACTAATCTGAACGTAAGCCCTCCTGTTCCAGATGTGGGGAATGTCGGAACGAATATTATATAGCTCTTGCCTTTGATTAACTCATAGACATTGAAAGTGCAGCAGCCACATGTGGGGCGAGCAGGAGCTGTGGGAGGGGATGGCAGTCAGCAGAGCCTTAGGAGGAGTCATAGATTCCTGGTAAGTGGGGTTCTGAGGGAAAGAATGCATCGTGAAGAACTGAATGGTAGCTGATGTGGCTGGACAGGTGACATGAAGATATTGGTGAGACTCTATTTATGTATTTATTTATTTATTTATTTTTATTGGTACTGGGAATCGAACTCAAGACTGCACCCTTGCGAGGCAGGTGCTTATGCCGCTGAGCTATTTATTTTTGATACGGGACCTTGCTATGTAGCCCAGGCTGGCCTTGGACTCATGACAATCCTCCTGCTGCAGCCTCCCGAGTACTGGGATTACAGGTGTGTGTCATCATGCCCGGTCATTGGAGAGGCTCATTAATTGATTTTTGGTACAGGGAACTGAACTTAGAACCTTGGGCTTGCCAGGCACTGAGCTGTATCTCCGGCCCTTTGGTGAGATTTAAATGAGTGACATGTGGGTCGTGGTTTCTGTAGAATAATACTGGAATGGAGGAAGGAAGGAAGGAAGGAAGCAGAGAGGCTAAGCTGGGGGTTTCTGGAGGAAACCGATGGCCAGGGATGGGGCCTCACTCAGGCGGGTGAGGGTGGATCGGTGTATAATGAACTGTGGTGGCCTGGACTGGAGGCTGGGAGAGAGAGAGGAAATGAAAATGTCTGGTCCTCATGCTCCAAGGGTGGGTGGGGCCATGGAGCTGGGACACCCACCGCTCTTTGGTGTCCAACTCCTCTCCTATCGGGTGTGGGTTTATCTGATGTCCTCCCATGGTCTCTCATCTATCCTTTTTCCTAGGGGACTCACAGGTTGAAGGATACTGAGATGGGCTAGTGCAAGGCAGAGGGGAGGGGAAAGAGGAAGTCGGGTCAGAGCCCGGATGTGATGGGTCATCAGAGAAAATAGCATTTGGGGTTTCCTCAGAGCCTGGAAATTCCACTGTCTCTGGCTCCACCCCCAGACCCGAATCCTGAGATGCTTAAATCCTGCGTGGGTCTTAGCCCTTGGGAATCCTGGCCCCTCTAGGTGCTGTGAGTCTGTATCTGAAGGGTCACAGCCCCTTGAAAGGTCCCACGATAGTAAGCTGACATCAGTCAGCCTGTGAACTTCCTGTGCACCAGGCCCAGAGCCCATTACCTGCATGATCCCATGCCATCCTCACCACAACCCTCGGTCCTCCCTGTCCCTGTGAGTCTCCAAGGGGTTAAGGAACTTGTCCAGATTCACACGGCAAGGATGAGGCCGAGTGAGGATTTGAACTGAGCTTTGCTTGACATCAGAGTCTGTGCTTTTAACTCCTGTGCTATATTAAGCCTGTCGACCCCATGGTTGATTGGCTCAGTAGGGGGAGGAGGCTATGTGGGGGATTTGCTTGCAGTTGGGGTGGCTGCCCCCCTCTCATATCAAGCGATGGGAAAGGGTAGTGCTGACGTCAATTGTTGCCGTGGCAATACAGCAACCCTTTCCCTGCTGTCTCCATGGTAACCTGGGGGGTCCATCTGTACTTCGCCCCCTCCTTCTAAAAAGGGGGTCCCTTAGGGAGGGGCCACCTAATAAGGTGTCTGAAAGAGAAGGCAGCGAAGGCGGTGATGTGAACAAGCCCTTTCTCTGGGTTCTTCACTGCTCAGGTCTAGATAATAAGGCTGGGACCTGGCTGTCTGTCACCAGGGTCTGAGGATGGCCCTAAAGGATGGAGAGAGGAGTTCTGCCTTTCCCAGCTGGAAATCCTCAACCCCCAACCCCCAAGTTCATGGGTTTCTGAGCAGAACAGCTGGAAAATCCGAAGATGAGAGGGTTTCCCTAGGTCCCTGCAGGGCTGGCTGTCACCCAGTCCCCAGGGAACAGAGTCCTTGGCTACCTGGCTCTCTGCTGCCACTTGAAGCCAAAGGTTAGACAAGCAGCAGCTGGGGCCTCGCCCTCAAGCGGTGGCTAGGCAGGGCTTCCTGCCTGGTACTGTGCAGGCGGGACCTTACGGAAACCTCCCAGGGTCATTAGTTCCATTTTCCAGATCTCGAAATGGAGACTCTGAGAGGCCTAGGAGTTAGCCAAAGGTTGTAGAGTCAGTAAATGGCAGAGATAGAACTTGAACTCAGAACTGGAGTGTAGGCCAGTGGAAAGAGGAAAAAGAAACAAAAACAGGATGGAAGAAGAGAAGCAGAAGAGTCAATGACCCAGGTCAAGCCTGTCATGCTCCCTGTTGTGCTACAAAACAAAGTGTAAACTCCTCAGCATGGCACTTGAAGGCCTTCTGGGACCAGCTGCTTTTCTGCTAACCCTGAATGCAGCAATGGGCTCTCAGAAGGCTATGGCTCGTTCCAGGAAGGTGTTGGTAAAAACAACTGTATTCCTTGAATTGCCTTCCACCTTCCTGCCTCAAGGGCCCTCACAATGTTCTGTCTACCCATAAGGCCCTTCCTCTTTGCTGATGCACATTTTAGAGCTTACCTGCTTAAGGCTTTGGCTGGCCCAGGGGCCAGGTCTAGAATCTTTTTTGTTTGTTTGTTTTCTTTGTACCAGGGATTGAACTTGTGACCTTGTGCTTGTCAGGCAGGCGCTTATGCCACTGAGCTAAATCCCCAGCAGGTCTAGCATCTTTGCATCACTCACAGACCTAGCACATGGAGATAGTAGTAAATGTTCTTTAAAGGAAAGGATGACTGAGAAGAGGAAAAAAGAAGAGAAAAAGGAATAATGGGAAGGATTCAGACATTTGGGATTGGCAGGCTCCACAGAGATCAGCATTTTGGGACTGACTGTAAGAGCCTTTTTCTTTTGCTATATAGTATAGTCTGGCTTTGAACTCACTATGTGATCCAGGCTGTCATTGAACTCACAGCAGTTCTTTGAGTGCTGGGATTACAGGTGTGTGTCATCATGCTTGTTTTGGAAAAGCATTTTTTTTTTCTTGAATTTTTTGAGACAGGATTTCACTATGTAGTTGAACTGGCCTCAAACTCATGGCAATGCTCCTTGCCTTAGCCTCCTGAGTGCTGGGATTATAGGCATGCACTGCCACACCTAGCTTGCAAGAACATTTTGAGTGGAAATCAAAGAAAGCTATCCCAGCCCACAGGAGGCTGAGGCAGGAGGATCACTGTGAGTTCAAGGCCAGCTTGAACTACACAGTGAGACATTGTCAAAAAAAAAAAAAAAAAAAATCTGTCTCTTTCTGGTGACCTAGGGGAGCGGTACTGAATCAGTTCTACTTAGAGCTCCAGGGACAGTAGACTGAAACCATCGTTTGCATTAGAATTTTTCCAACATAAACATACAAGCTGATTAAAGCAACACTGGAATGTGGAAAATACTTGTTCATCTTAAATACTAGCCCTTGGGGCAGGCTTTTTGTCTTGGGTGCCTCCTATGGATGGATGTAAAGGCATTGAGTCCTCAGACACTCAGAAGTATGCCAACATCACCTATCATTTGGGCAACTCTAGGCCAGTGTCTCAAGCCTTAGGTTCTTCACTTGTAAAATAGGAAGCAATCACAATTTGCTGGGTGTGGTGGTGCACATCTGGAATCTTGGCATTTGGAGGTTGGGGCAGGAGGATCACCTGGAGTTTGAGACCATCAGGCTACATAGGGAGTTCAAGGCCAGTCTGAACTGCATAGAGAGATCCTGTCTCAACAAACAACTCAAAAAAACACAGAGAAACCAGAGCACAAAATGAACGGAGGCAGTCCATTATCCCTCCAACAATGCCGGAAGTGCCCTCACAAGACAGCAGGTAGCAGAACCTAATTCCAACTTGGGCCTGGAGTGGGTCTCTGTCTAAACATGCCTGCCTTTCCCTCCTTCGCTTCAATCCTAAACTCCCCTGGGTCACCAGCGCCCCCGCACACTAATGTAAATTTCACTGGCTAACCAATGACAGGGAAGGGGAGACAGACAACAGCAGGCTGTGGGAAAAGTCTGCGGGAAGGGGTCCTGACCAGCAAGAAACGGGAGGCCTCCCCCAAGCCCAAGGGCAGTCCTGAGAGAGGAGGCTCCCAAGGGAAGGTGTTACTGGATGGAGCGAGGTGTGGTGGGCCCAATACGACCGACAGACATACACGGCCAGTCCGGGGTGGAAAGAACAGTTTATGCTGTGCTTTATTAAAATGTGCATCATTCTTTTATTTTAAAATGTGCATCATTGTCTCGTGCTCGGCGCGTGCGGCCTCGTCCCGCCCGGCTCCCGCGGAGCCGCTGTGCACAGAGGCGCTCAGGTGTCGCGGGCCCGCGGGCTCCCGCCCATGGCCAGGTAGACGTCGATAGGCACGTGCAGCAGCGTCAGGCAGTGGCAGCCGGGGCAGCGTCGCAGCGGCCTGGGGAGAGCGGCGCGCCACAGGGGGCGCTGAGGTGCCGGCCGGGCCATGCTGTTGGGGCGAACCAGGGAGGCCCCTGGGGTCCTCTGGCACTGGGGCTTGACCTGGGGGCCCTGGGGTGGGAAGGGGGGCCGAGGGCTGGGGCGGGGCGCTGGCCTCACCTGACCGGGTTGCGCTCCGTAGCTACCGGCTCCGGGTTGTCCTGGGATTCGGGGGCGGCTGCAAGGCCAGGAGAGTCTCCGGCCTCAATGGGGAATCTTCGACCCTGTGGGGGCTCCTGGGCACTCATGTCCAGGCCCCGCGGCGCTCTGAGCGGGGAGTGACGGTCAGACCGCTGGTGGGTATCGGGGCGCCCCTGCCTGTGCGCCCCGGGGTCAGTGCTCACCTGCCGGAGGCCGAGGCTGGTCCCAGGCTGGAAGCGGTTGCCAGAGCCCTGGCCACGAGAGGTCGCTCCGGTCCAGGCGGAGCCGGGCAGGTGTCTGCCGCTAGCCTGGGCCGAGTCCTCGAGGGTGAGGACTGCATTGTGACTGCGTCTTGGCGCTGTGACATCACAGAGCCTGTTCCTCCCCCTGGGGAACCCTCTCTGCCCCGGGCTACTCTGGCATTTAGCGCGGGAACTCATGCTTGAGTGCTACAGGCTCCGGCCACGGTGGCCTGGGACCGAGTCACACAGACCCTCGGGTGGGGGCCTAGGAGGCAGCGTCACGCGGAGGAGTCCGGCGTCCCAGGGCCATGCAGACACCGGGGCGCTGATCCCAACTTTGCTCTTACTCACGGCCTGGCGCAAGTAGTAGTGACTTAACCAGAGCTGGTTTGGTGATGAAGGTGGTGGTGAGGACAGGTAGGGCCGCTGCCCATTTTGGCCAAGGGTCACACAGCATTTACATCACAATTGGGCTGGAGGTTAAAAATGTCTAGCCCTTTCCCTCTCCCCCACCCGCGGCTGTGTCCAGAGGACAATGTTCTAGGGCTGGGTCGGCTGTGGATGAAGTCCCTGGGGGAGAAAAGGCGCAGGCCAAGGGCGATGGTGAAGTAGAGCTGCCTCACTGAGGCAGCATGAGCTGAGGGTGATAGGAAGGAAGGAAGGAAGGCGGCGCCAAGACAGCATGGAAGACTTCCTGCTCTCCAATGGGTACCAGCTGGGCAAGACCATTGGGGAAGGGACCTACTCAAAAGTCAAAGAAGCATTTTCCAAAAAACACCAAAGAAAAGTGGCAATTAAAATTATAGACAAGATAAGAGGGCCAGAAGGTGAGCTGGAGCCCCTTTGGGGAAAAGGGAGGGCTGGGTGTGATGGGTGGGTGCTTCCTTCCGTTAGAAAACTCTTTCCTCCCTCCCCTTTAGTCCGCGGCCACAGAAAGCAAGCCAAACTATGGCCCGAGGTAGGTCAGTAGGGAACCGAAGGATGATGGGAGTCCAAGAGCATCACACCTCAAACTCAAGATGAGTGCACAAGGTGAAGAGTTCCTGGGCTTTTCCTATTCCAGCAGGGAACAGAGACTGGCAGCACCCACAGCCGGGGCTGGCAGAGGGCTGGGACCAGTACCAAAGCAGGTAGAGATGGGCAAAAGACAAGGGTCCTGGAAAGAACTGGGGATCAGAAGGCAGGGTGTGAAGAGCTGGCTTTCCATCCTGTGGGCCCAGCAGGCTTCCTGAAATCCAATGGCACTGTCTAAAGTGATACCCTTCATATCCATGGTCTCACAGACTGCTCACAATCCCTCAGATTGGCAGGGAGTAGATCCTTTCTTTTAAATCGGTCCCGGAGATCGAACTCACGACCGCCTGCTTGCAAGGCAGGTGCTTGTGCTGCTGAGCTAAATCCCCAGCCCCAATCCTTTCAATATATATTAAGTACACAGCAAGTAGAGAATTCTCTTTGCAGTGTCCAAATTGATGGACACATTTGGAAACTTAAGGAAGCCAAAGTATAAGACACACATATGCAGGATAAACAGAAGCCAGAAGGGAAGAGTTGGGAGTAAAGAGGCTCTCCTGATCTCTTTTTGACCCAGGAGTCTCCCCATGTAATTCAGGACTTAAAGCAGCCCTCCTGCCTCAGCCTCCCAAATGCTGGGATTACATGCATGCACTACTAGGCCAGGGTTGGGCCCTTCTGATCTTGCTAGTTTCTCCCTCTTCCCTTTATTTCCATAGAGTTTATCCAGAGATTCCTGCCTCGGGAGCTCCAGATCGTGCAGACCCTTGACCACAAAAACATCATCCAGGTGTATGAGATGCTGGAGTCCACTGATGGGAAAATCTACCTGGTGATGGAGTTGGCCGAAGGCGGGGATGTCTTTGACTGTGTGTTGAACGGGGGGCCAATGCCTGAAAGCCAGGTCAAGGCCCTCTTCCGCCAGATGGTTGAGGCCATCCGATACTGCCATGGCTGTGGTGTGGCCCACCGTGACCTCAAATGTGAGAATGCCTTGTTGCAGGGCTTCAACCTGAAGCTGACTGACTTTGGCTTTGCCAAGATGTTACCCAAGTCACGCCGGGAGCTGAGCCAGACCTTTTGTGGGAGCACGGCCTATGCGGCCCCTGAGGTGCTGCAGGGTATTCCCCATGACAGCAAGAAGGGTGACATCTGGAGCATGGGCGTGGTCCTATATGTCATGCTCTGTGCCAGCTTACCTTTTGATGACACAGACATCCCCAAGATGCTCTGGCAGCAGCAGAAGGGGGTGTCCTTCCCTCCTTATCTGGACATCTCATCTGAATGCCAGGACCTGCTCAAGCGGCTCCTGGAAACAGACATGACCCTCCGGCCTTCGATTGAAGAAGTTAGTAGGCACCCATGGCTAGCAAGCACATGATAAACACAATGGCAAGTCCTCCCCAATAAAGTAGGGGGAGAAAGCAAACCCAAAATCCGCTTCTAAAATGGTGCTATATATTTTAATGTTTACTTATCCTAAAGCTTACCTACACCTTCCCCAGATTCACTATTCTTTCCCTCTAAAGATCTTCATGGAACCAAGGGTCTCATTTAGACTTTTTATTATCAATGGCACATGATTTTCATACTGGTGTTTAAAGCTAATTAGACCCCAGAATCATCCGTACAGGGGGAGGAGAGGAGAAAAATGACCAAGAGCAATTGGAACCACTATTGCTGCAACTTCCTTTCCAAATAAAAGCAGAAGCGTTGGGAATGCAGAAACAGCCTGACTCCTTGTCTCTGCGAAAGGTCTGCTGGGGCCCTATCCCTCCTCATCCCAGAAGCTGAGCTGAGTCTGAGATGAGGACAGGGTTTCCTCAGGGCCCCAGCTGTGGCCTGCTTCAAACGGGAAGCTGCCCCTGCAGCGGCACAGAAACAGACCCCAGACACCTTCTGGCTTCTGTTGAATCTCTTTAATGTTAACGCCAAGTCTGCAAAAGGTTCAGGACAAAGTTGTTTTTTCTCTCCTTTTTAATTACAAAACTAACAGCTGTTAGAATCTTTTTTTCCCTCCTATTTTCTTTTCTGGGCTACAAAATACTCTGGGAAGATGCATAATTTAAAATATATAATATTGCACAAACAACCAAAAGGTTAATTAAACTAAAGAAATAATTACAAAGAGGAAAACCCCCATCCCACCAGAAAGAGATTCAGCATTCTTTCCATCCCACCCCTCACTAAAGGTCTCAACTACAAGTGCCCACCACTCAGCGACCTGCCTATCCCTCTGTCACTGTGGACACAGCTGCTATATACAGGAATCGCCAGAGTAGAACTGTGAAGCACCAGGGTCTCCAGGAATTTCTGCAACCCTCACTGCTCCAAAAGGTGCAGCTTCACCAGAGAGGAGGGTGAGAGCCACAGGCTGGCTCTGTTTCTAGGGAGGGAGCTTTGCAGGAGCCCACCGAGGCCCAGGGCATTTTCCCAGCATATCCTCTTGGAAGCTGAGGGCGGAGGCAGAGCAGCTGACCTTACCAGGCTGTAAGTACTTGCCTTTGCTCACTGCTCTGTACTGCTGGGAGCTGCCTTGTGCCCTAAGCTACAGGGAAGCCGATGTGGGTAGCTGCTTGGACCAGGTATTCTGCCAGGCAATGCACAAAAGGGCCTGAAGTGGCCCTCTCCTCTCTTGTGGAGGGAAAGGACTGCCAGGGTGGACCCTTGCGGTGGCACAGCTGGGCTAAGGACTTGGGTGCATCTGACATGAAGCAGCCCTGGAAATAATGGGGACATTCCCATGTGGGCTGAAGAGAAGGAGGTGAGTTACGGTTTGGTCTCTAGATTCCGAACCCTAAGGAGCCTTTCCAGGTGTGAAAAATGCTAAACAGGGAGGTTTCCAAAAGAGGCAAATTTCCCAGAAATGAGTGCTCCTTATACACGAGTAGGAACCATATCATGTTTGCCAATCCTGTTTAGCCATGGGCAGGCATCCTTGCCTGCTTATGAGTGGACAGAGTGTACTGCCTCTGCTGCCTTGAAGAAACTAGTGGTTAAGCTTCTGTCTACGCACAGAAGGGCCAGAGCTGTCCCTGGGGCTTGCAGCAGGAGTCCCCAGGAGCAGTGGGTTTTCAGCAGAGAAATGTAGGCTCTCGGTGAGGGTGTAGGTTATCTTCCCCTTAGATCATCCTAAGGTTGGCACAAGTCAGTTGTGGGCTTGGATTTAAAGATTCCCTTCCCAAGCATGAGCAGAGGCCCAAAGGGCCAGCGAGGAGCCACCAGAACCTGTGCCCAGAGCTTGGGATGGCAGAGGCCACTGGGGGGACATTCTTGGTCAGTGTCATCCAGGGCGGGGCCGAGATGCTCCAGGGAGGTGGGTGACGGCATGGTGGGGGAGCTGCTCAGTTTGGCTGCTCACTCCCAGTCTTCCCACTCTACATCTTCCAGCTGCAAATGGGAGGGGAATGAAGAGCACAAACACACATTCACTCCACGGTGTGCAGCCCTACCCAACTCACCCTGCTGAGCAGAGTGGCCTGTTTCTGAATCGAGTCCCCAAGCCCTACCCTAGGCCACACCTTGCCCTGCCGTGAGAGTGAACCCTTAGTCTCAACAGTGTGGGCGGCAAGCTACGTCTGCCTAGGTGCTGGACTCACTGCTCTCATTGTTCAGTCCATTGGGTGCTTCCACCACCACCACCAGGCACTCTGCAAGGGGGTGCCTTGCCCAAGGAAGCAAGTATGTCAGTCCCTTAAGGACCTATCTCCTGCTGTGAGATTAATGTCATACCGCGAGAGAGAATGACTAAAAGCAGAGTGGCAGTAGCCTATAGCTACTCAGAAGATCTTCACCAGGGGCTCAGCACTCTAACTTCCAGCTTAAGTCTCCCTAGAACTTTCCTTTGCCTCCTTACCCTGCCATCAGTGGCTCCCTAGTATAATAGGTTACAGAAAGTCTCTATTTTGTGTTGTTTTTTCAGTGCTTGTGTTTGTCTTTTTTTTTTTTAAAGACATGATCTTGAGGGGCTGGGGATTTAGCTCAGTGGCATAAGTGCCTGCCTTGCAAGCAGGCAGTCGTGAGTTCGATCCCTGGTACCGATAAAAACGAAAAAGACAAAACAAACAAACAAACAAAAACACATGATCTTGCTATCAGTTCAGGCTAGCCTTGAACTCACTATGTAGCACAGGCTGGCCTTGAACTCACAGCAGTCCTCCTGCCTCAGTCTCCTGAGAGCTGGGATTAGAGGCGTGCGCCACCATATCTGACCGAACCCAGACTTGTGCATGTTAGGCAAATGCTCCACCACTAAGTGATATCCTAATCCTTTTTGCATTTTTTTTTTTAATTGGTACCAGGGATCGAACTCACGACCGTGCGCTTGCAAGGCAGGCGCTTATGCCACTGAGCTAAATCCCCAGCCCTTCCTTTTTGCTTCTATTTGAGCAAAGGTCTTGCTTGCTAAATTGCCCAGGTTGGTCTTGAACTTTTTTTTGATCCTCCTGCCTCAGCCAATTGTGATTAAAGGCATGTGCTGCTGTACCCAGATAAAAATACTGTGGAGTAGATCACTATATCCTCTGAGCCATCAGGTGGCTAATATGAAAAACTAGACCCTACATGTGTTTCTCTAATTTGCCTTCCTCTTGTTTTGGTGATGCTAGCAGCTGAGCCCAGCTCCTGCCCTTGCAAACTGGGCAAGGCTGACTTTGAACTCACTATGTTACCCAGACTGTTGAACTCATAGCAATCCTCCTGCCTCAGTCTCCTGAGCACCGGAATTACAGAGATGTGCCACTTATCCAGCTCTCAATAGTTTAAGAATATTTTGCCATGGATGTAAAGTTCTTTAAACGATATCAAGCCAAGCGTGTTGGCACAGACCTGTAATCCCAGTACTCTGGGAGGCTGAGTAACATCCTCAGCCCAACATTCATATTTAGGTGATTGGGACACAGAGTTAAAGGCTAGAACTCTCTATCCATCTACCCTAGAACCAACAGGAAGCAGCTTGCTGATGGCGTGTCACAGGCATTCTCAGGAGGCCTCAGCACCCTTCCTGCAGAGGGCACAGCCTGGCCCATGGGCGGGAGTCCCTGACCCTGACATCACGGGGCCAACCCGGCCCACTCACCTCACCAGAGGCATCCACTTTGGAAAGCGCCATCTGTACCTCTTCTTCAGTCATGTCCAAGTCAAAGTCCTTCTCCCAGTCCTCACTGATGTCTGTGCTTGAGCCTAGAACCAAGAGCAGCATGAAATGCAGGACAGGGAAGAGAGAAAACTGCAAAAGTTTAGTTGGGGGGACAGCAGTCTTGAAAATGGATAGCAAGATGCAACCCAAGTCCCTGCAATCTACTTTCATTGTTCTCAGCAATCTCAATATTTAGGATCAAAGGAAAAACCTGGGACTTGGTAAAAACAATTTAGCCCAAGTATGTTAACCGTTGTGCCATTACACTGACAAAAACTCAGAAACAACCTCAAAGTCCAGTGTCAGAAAATTAGAAAAAACTGTTACATGATGGAACATGATGCTTTTGTATGTTTTTGTGGCCCTGAACCCAGGGCCTTCACATAGAGCTACATCCCTACCACTTAAAATTTTTTAAAAAGACTATGTCACTAAGTTGCCACAGTGGGGTTCTAGCTTGTGATCCTCCTGCCTCAACCTTCCAGAGTACTGGGATTACAGGTCTGTGCCAACACGCTTGGTTTGATATGGTGGCACATCTCTGTAATTCCGGTGCTCAGGAGACTGAGGCAGGAGGATTGCTGTGAGTTCAACAGTCTGGGTAACACAGTGAGTTCAAGGTCAGCCTGAATAATGTAGAGAGTCTGTTTCAAAAACACCACCACCACCACCACCAATCTATTAATTGAGAAAAAGCAGATTTCTAAAGAGGGGAGAAGCTGGGCATGGTGGTACATGTGTATAATCTCAGCTACTTGGGAGGCTGAGGCAAGGGAATCACAAGAAGGTCACAAGAGGATAACAAGTATGAAGCTAGCATGGGCAACAGAGCGTCTCAAAATTAAAAACAAACACCCCCCCCCCCAAATGGCTGGGTGTTGGTGCTAATACCTGAAATTTTAGCACTTTGGGAGGCTGGGGCAGGAAGACCACTAGGAGTTCAAGGCCAGCCTGGGATACAAGTGAACTCAAGGTCAGCCTGAACTACACAGTGAGAGCTTATCTTATAAGCTTCCCCCACAAAAAGACCCCAAAAGGCCTGGGGAGGTAGCTCAGTGGTAGGGCACTAGCCTTGAGACCCTCGGTTCAATGCTCAACATAACAAAACAGAACAGAGGAAAAAAAAAATAAAAAATAAAAATAAAAGGCAAGGCATTCTGGTGCTGATGGCCTGGGAAACCAGAAATCTCCCAAAAGAGATGAGGAACCTCTTCTCTTCTCCCTCAGCCATTCTATCTGTGGTGACCTGGCTCCTTCTAAGTCACCAGGCACATCCCTGCCTTGGCTGGCTGTGCCCCACACTGGTAACTGACCCTCAGGTGTCCACAAGGGCAAGTTCTCTGCCCCTTCACACCTCTTCAGATCTTGCCTTCTATGTGTGGCCTATCGGACAAGCCTATTTTATTGCATCCCACCCCTTTCACCCTTTTTCTTACTGTCTGATAACGATGGGGCTAGACAGCAACCTCTATGAGGGCACAATCTTTGATGTTTCCTTATGCACCCCTAGTGTCTAGGACATGGCTTTGGTGCCCAATAAATATTCATGGACCCTTTTTCTAAATCAGTGGTTGGCACACTATGGCCTGTGGATCAAATCCAAGCTACTGCCTTTCTGGAATAAGATTGTGGAACACAGCCACATCTGCTTGTTTACATGTGTCTGTGGCCGCTCCTGGGTCGCAGCAGTGGGGCTCAGTAGTGTCAACAGAGACCATGTGGCCCAACAAGTCTACAGTGCTTGTGATCTGGCTCTGCATCAACAGTTTACTGACTCCTGCTCTAGGTGATTCTGATGCCAGCTACAGTGTGACCATAGCTGCCCTAAACACTCCCATTTGGACTTCTTATTGGCAGTATTAAAAACACGCATGTAAAAGTTATCAGTAAGAAGCAAACTGTAGCTGGGTGTAGTGGTGGCATGCTTGGAATACAGGATATCTGGGAGGCTGAGGCAAGAGGATCACAAGTTCAAGTCCAATAGGAGCAACATAGTGAGACCCTGTCTCAAAATAAAAAAATTAAAGGGACTGAGGACATAGCTCAGTGTGAAGCCCTGGGTTTGATATTCAGTACCCCAGCCCCCCAAAAAACCAGCAAAGTGCATAAATAGTTGCCCAGCTCCATTCAGCTCACAAGGCTTGTACTGTTTCCTCCTGCCATAAGCACTGTGGGAAGAAGTCTCTGAGACAGGCAGACCTGGGTTGAGTCTATTCCTTTTCCCGCTGTATAGTCTTGGGCAAATTATTCTTGGCTTCAGGCTATTTATATAATATGAATAAAATCAACCTCTTTGCAAAAAAACACAGGAGAGGCTTATTAATGCAGATTCCTAACCTCTCCCCTTTCCACCCTGGTTGAGATTCACAGGGTATACATGATGGCTCTGGATTCTGCTTTTTTTTTTTTTTTTTTTTTTTTTTTGTCTTTTTCCTTTTTATCGGTACCAGGGATCGAACTCAGGACTGCCTGCTTGCAAGGCAGGCGCTTATGCCGCTGAGCTAAACCCCCAGCCCCTGGATTCTGCTTTTTTTTTCTGGGTCTTTTTAAAAATCTTTTTGAGATAGGGTTTTCCTGCAGTTCAGGCTGCTCTGAACTCATTTGATAGCCCAGGCTAGCCTTGAACTCATCCCAGTTCTCCTGCCTCAGCTTCCCAAGTGCTGGCATTAAGGTGTGCAATATCACACCCAGTCTGGCTTTTGCTTTATTAACAGGTACATGGGTGATTCTGTAGCATCTGATCCTGCAGTGTGAGAAATAATGACCTTAGAAGTGTAAGAATGAAGTGCATACGTAGAGAATATTTAACAAATGGAGTCATATTTCTCCTAAGGCCTTGTCTTGAGCTAAGTAAAATTTTTTTTTGTTTTTTGAGCCTTGGTTTCAGTATGTAGCACAGGCTGGCCTCAAATTCCTGTTGACTTCCCTGTATCTCAGCTTCCCAAGTCTGGGACTACAGATGTGTGCCACCACACCCAGAAGAGCTAAGTAATGTTCTGCATTACTGTTTTCTGTGCAACACAAAGTCATGGAGATCTGCGACCAAGAGCAAGATCCTCTGACCCTGCATTAAGTCTTCTTGTTCTTCCTGATGTGGCACTCATCTGGCTGGCAGTGTAGCTTCCTGTGGGTCAGAAGCTGGACATCTGGCTGATTACTAAATTATGAATTGCAGCTGTAATCCCAGCACTCGGGAGGCTGAGGCAGGAGGATTGTTGTGAGTTTGAGACCAGCCTGAGCTACAAAGTGAACTCAAGGCCAGTCTGAAATGCACAGTGAGACCCTGTCTCAAAAAGACCAAACAAAAAACAAAACAAAACAAAACAAAACCAAATCACAGCTGTAGCCATGAGTTCCCCCTCACCCAGATGGCGAACCTTTTGGAGCTTTCAATGACAATCAACAGCACACTGTGGCATGTTTACAACAGGTTCACTGCCTAATCCCTAGTTCAGAGTTGAATGCTGGTGCAGACCTTTCCGTGCAAAGAGTATGAGCTCACATTCTTGGAGCACTTTGCATCCCCTTTCTGGAGTGGGTATCAACAGCCCCACTTTCACAAATGAGGAAAAAAAGCTTCCAAGGTAGGGAGAGATGGGAAATCTGGGTGCTCCCTGACTTCAGCAGTCTTGTGTTGTCACAGCAGTAGCACACTAAGATCTCCATTACCCTGAGCATGTGAGCCCTGATTACACAACTAAAGACTTCATGATAGAGTCTGCTTTCTGTATTGTTTTCAGGTGATTACTAACCTCAACACACTGTCATTCACAACTCATTTTACTGTTTTCTTTTCTTTTCTTTTTTTTTTTGGTGCGGGGATCGAACTCATGACCTCGTGTTTGCCAAGCTGGCACTTATGCCACTGAGCTACCCCCCCACCTCATTTTACTCTGTTTAATTGGCTCTCTGCTCCCCTAATCAAGAAATAGAGACATAACTAGTTGTCAGATCCCAGTCAATGGAAGTGGGGCCTTCCATGGGGCCACAGCCACAGGCCTGCCCCACATTCTCCCCCACTGCTTTGCAGTTGAGCAGGGTGAGTCCAATCTCTTCCATCAAACTCGGACAAAATTCAGGCAGGAGCAACATGACCAAGACTACCTGTGGCTACGTCATGTCAGGGAGACTCCTGCACCTAGAGACAGTTTACATCATCCCCTTAGGATGTGGGTGTAGGAGGGAAAAGGAGTCATTCTTCCTCTTAAGATCTATTCTTTGGGGCTCGGGATTTAGCTCAGCAGCATAAGCACCTGCCTTGCAAGCAGGAGGTTGTGAGTTTGATCCCCGGTACCGATAAAAAAAAAAAAAAAAAAAAAAAAAAAAAAAAAGATCTACTCTTTCTACTGTGTTCTCACCATTCTAGGCTAAACCTGGTGCCTGGCTTCTACCATCTAACTGCCTATAGTTGTTTGGGGTTTTCTGCATCGCAATCCCAGCCCCTCCCATGCCTGAGTGCACTGCAGGCCATGCAGCACAGCACAGTTTACTGGTTAGAGCTTCTCCATATCTCCCTCATCATCTCAACTTGATCCAGTCTCCCACCACAGCTGACCTCCCTCTCTGTAGCCCAAATATGTAGTTATGAATAGAACTTACAATTTTTTTAAAACTTTTTTTTTTGTCTTTGAGATGGGGTCTCACTATGCAGTTCAGGCTGGCCCTTGAGCTTATTTTGTACCCCACGCTGGTCTCGAACTTGCAACAATCCTCCTGCCTCAGCCTCCCATGTGCCAAGAGTGTGCCACCACACCCAGCTTGGAGCTTATAGTTTTTTTTTTTAATCAGGGATCAAACTCATGAGCTAGCATTTGCCAGGCAGGCAGCTTATGCCACTGAGCTAGATCTCCGGCTCATAGGAGCTTATAATTTTTAACTTTCTGTCTCACTATTCCTCACTCTTTCTTTGCAAAGCTAAGATTTTATGAGCTACCAGTCTCATTATTTTTGGTATATCCTTGGATTTGCTCTTTTTCTTCCAATGATGTTATCTGGCTTTTTTTTTCTTTTTTTTTTTTGGTCTTTTTGCGACAGGGTCTCATTATGTGACTCAGGCTGGCCCCGAGCTCACTTTGTAGTCTAGGCTCGTCTCAAACTTGTAACGATCCTCCTACCTCAGCCTCTTAAGTACTGGATACAGGTGTGTGCCACCATGCCCAGCTATCTGGCTAATTTTGAGCTCCAGTTAAATCCATCTTCCATCTACTCCAAGCCTGCACTAAGCAACTTAACTTGGCAAGGCCAAAGTACAATAGGACTGACTGGTCTTACTTAAAATCCTTGACCAGCTCCTCACGTGGACCCTCGTATCACATATCCAGAAACTCTACACACCTATCAGAACCCCCACCTATTCTTCCATAGGATGAAATAAACATTTATTGGCTGGGTGATTGATCTGTTTGCTACCAATAAAAAAAATGGGCACATCAACACAGATCTCTTAAGGTTTTTATGAGGACGAGATATATGCATAGATCTAGGCACAGAAAATGCTGAGAATGTTCCATCTTATAATTTCTCCAAAACAGGGCTCTAACCAAATTCCTTCTCTGACTCAGATCCTATATCAAACAGCTAACTCCAACTTAAAGAGGAATAAGCAGAAGCTTAAAGATCAAAAACTTTTCTGAAGTCAATGGCTTATGGGAAAAGTTGGGATGCGAACCCAGAATTATAACCCAAAGCCTGCCCTTACTAACCTGTGCTCTGCTTAATGGCCCCAAGTCTAATTTTCTGATTTTAGCTAAAGGTGTTAAGTTCTTAAACTCTTTTTTTTTTTTTTTTGGCTTTTTCGTTTTTACCAGGGATAGAACTCATGACTGCCTGCTTGCAAGGCAGGCGCTTATGCCACTGAGCTAAATCCCCAGCCCCAAGTTCTTAAACTCTTTCTGAGTCAATTGCTCATTCTTTTTGTTTTTGTGTTTTGAGACAGAGCCTTGCTATGTACTTCAGACTGGCTTTGAACTCACTATATAGCTCAGTTTGGAATTCATGGCAGTCCTCCTGCCTCAGCCTCCCATGTGCTGGGTTTATAGGTTTGTGCAACCATCCCTAGATTTACTCTCTCTCTCTCGGGAGCATTACAGAACAGGGGGTTTTAGTTGCTATCCCTCTGATGTGCCCCATCAACTTAAATACCACTCCCCACACCTGCCCCAAACCCTCCAAGTCTCCTACACCCAACTCCTTGGTGCAACACCTGCTGGGCTCAGAGGTTTCAGCTATCACAGGACAGCACTGTGCCATGTTTCCTTTAGGTTTCATCACAAAGACTACAGCTTCGGCCCCTCCCACTCAGGGTCTCATAAAAAACAGCAGCAGTTTAATGGATGACCTCACTGACTCAGGCAGAAGGAAAGCACTCTGATGGGAGACTGGAAACCCCAAGGTTCTTTCTCCTCTCAGATAGACCTTCAGAGGCTTGGGTGTGATCATTTCCTGTCACCTGCAGGAAACAGCTTCTCACTATGCAGCAGGCCAAGCCTTACCTGCTGGATAAGTTTTGTGGCTGTGACTGGTACTAAGTTTTAGCAGTGACAGCACACATGTGTGTAAGGGGTTAGGGGTTGCTCTGGAGAGGGCTCTGGGAAGTAGAAAAGCTAATACCAAGGATATCCTTGTCCTTTAATCCCTGGAGTTAATAAGGGTTGCTGTTTGACATAAATTCTGTGTCTAGTCTAAAACTCCTTTTACAGATAGACCCTGAAACTCTATTTCTGAAGTTGGGTCATCCTAAGTTCACAGGTACTCATTTCATTCTTCTTTAAACTAAGTTTTGTGTGTGCATTTCATAATGATAACGAAGGCTTAAGGAAACTGACTTTTCTAAAGTTTCACAGGAGAGAAGACTTTTGACATTAATATTACAAGAATCCCTAGTGAGGACAAGGCTGCACTATTCAAAAGGCCAGAAATCAGCAGTGTGGCAGCGAAGGGCACGGCCTGATAGACCTGGGTCTGAATTTGGGATTGACACTTTGTGGCCATGTCAGTTTGAACAAGTTCCTTAACATTTCAGGGCTAAATTTTCATCTGTAAGAGGAGGACAAAATGCCATATAGTATTTAACATGGAACTCAAAGTGAGTGTGATTTCATTGACTCTAAGAAAGACCCCAGTAAGGGGCTGGGGATTTAGCTCAGCGGCATAAGTAACTGCCTTGCAAGCAGGTGGTCATGAGTTCAATCCCCGGTACCGATAAAAATGAAAAAGACAAAAAAAAAAAAACCAGTAGCTTTTTTTTTTTTTTTTTAAATCTTTTTATCGGTACCGGGGATCGAACTCACGACCACCTGCTTGCAAGGCAGGTGCTTATGCCGCTGAGCTAAATCCCCAGCCCCAACCCTAGTAATTTTAAGATGCATTCTTCTTTCAGAGACTATGTACATCCTAGACTTCACGAAATACAGTAATAAAAAAAATTACTGTCAACACTGAGATTTCAGAAGAAGAAGAAAAAAAATTACTATATGGCTGGGCGTGGAGGTGCACGCCTGTAATTCCAGCACTCAGGAGGCTGAGGTAGGAGGATCAAGAAGAGTTGGAGGCCAGCCTGGGCTACAAAAGTGAGTTCAAGGCTAGCCTTAAATGCACAGTGAAACCCTCTCAAAATATTACTGTCCTTCTCATTATCACAAATGAAAGACGTCTACTCTTAGGATTATAGCAAGACAAGGAAACACAACTGCCTTACCGTCTGGTGTTGGGGTTCCATACCTACCTTTCTTGCCATTGTTGGAAGGTGTAGACTTCCCACTGTCCGAGTTCAGCTCAAACACCCGTAAGTCCGTGGGAACCTCCTCCCTCAGAGTCTCTACTCTGGTTGGAGGCCTGGGCTCTGGGACGGTAGGACGCCCAGCAGGGGTCAGGGTCTTGGAGGGAACTGGGGGCGGAGGTCCAGTCTCGCCTTCATCCACAGCCGGGCTCTGTTCCTCTGAAGACGCCTCCAGCAGCTTCTGAGACAGGTCTCTGGGCAGCACTGGTGCCTCAGGTGCAGTGGTAAGGCTGGCAATCTGGGTCACAAGGGAGACGCTCTCGCTGCTCTCAGAAGGAGTCACCTCTGCCACAGTCTCTTCACAGGGGCTCTGCGGGCCAGGCATTCCCTCAGGGGATGTAGAAGTTTTGGTCACAGGAACCTTTGCCTCTTTTGGAGATGTAGGTGAAATGCCCACAAATTCCTCTGTAGAGAAACACAGGGGAAAAAGAGCAGTGCATCCTGGCCAACCTCAACAGCCCTGGTGCTTGCGACCCTAGTCTTGCCCCATCACAGTTGTTCTGCAGACCCTCCCTGCTGGTCAGTCCTGCCTACCCATGGGGCCCTGGTGGGCAGTCAGCAATACTGCCTGAGGTGCTGAGAGATTAGACAGCTGATGCCTGAAAGTGGGTCAGCTTTAGGTTCAGGTCAAAGTCTACCACATCCTAGGTGTACAGCTAGACGAGCCATTTCACTTTTAACTTGTCAGCCTTGTTTGTTTGCTGGATAATGGAGGTGTGGTAAGGACTACACAGGTAAAGCTCTCAGTGTAGCTTGGGTACACTTAATAAAAATTTTAGCATTGTATCACTGGCATGGCTCCAATATGCTGCTCTAAGTTGAACATCTGGCTTAGTAGAGGAGGCTCAGCTCCCACTCTAAACCAAGAGTTCTTAAGCCTGGGCATCTGTATTAGCAAGGGGCTTGTTAAAAATCCACCTTTGGCTACATTCCTACAGTCTTATTTAGAAGGCAGAGAAGGCAATCTGGATTTTCAATATGCTGCCCAGTGAGTGTGAAGCAGCTGGGCCATCACTGGCAGAGCAATCTGTTCCAGCTGACACATACGATTTTTATACCTAAATTTGGGGTTCCAGCAGCCGTGTTCCATTTGACATCTACTCACTAACACTGCCTGTGCCCAGTGTGTTACCCTGTGCTAATTCTCTATTGTTTGCTGGGCACAAAGCTTTCCAGGCCTCAGAGTCCCACACACAGGCCTGTCACTTGCCCATCACATTTCAACACCTTACCTTCTTCCTCCTCCCAGCCAGGCTCTTCAGAGAGGCTCTGTTCTGCCCGCTGCTTCAGGGCATCTCTCCGGGCCTGCTCCTGAGGGTGGGAGTGCAATGACCAGGACCAGTCAGGACTCCTTTTTCTCAGGCCCTGGTCCTGATCCCAGAACTCTTGCTACCTTGTCTCCCTCTTTTGCTTTAACAATGTCCAGCCTGTCAGGCAGGCATGGTGGTACATGCCTGTAATCCCAGCACTTGGGAGACTGAGTCGGGACAGCAAATTCAAGCCCATCTCAGGTAGTATAACAACTCAGGAGACCCTGTCTGCAAGGGTTCAACCCCCAGTATGGGGTAAGAGGGTCCATCTTGCTTGTATCAGGTCTGAGTAGCTGTCTCTCTGGGCTAGACCAATATACCTGTTCTAGTTGATGGACTTTATAGAAATACCGATGCCAGAATTCGGAATGGGAAACAGCTGCTGGAACCTGGAAGGAGGGGAAAGTGGAGGTGAGACTTTGGGATTCTTATACAGGGTCTGTGTCCCCAGTCTTCTCAGTCTCCTCCCAGGCATTCTGGATTTCAGACACACGAAGCAGTGTGGCATCTGTTAGGGCCCTTCCACCCCCATCTTAGTTCCAGTCAGACCTACCTTGGCCAATGAGGAAGAAAAGAACTCCCATTAGGCTTTGCTGGCCCTTTCATTTCTCACCATTCTCTGAATGCCAGAAGCCTGGCAAGTCAGCCTCTTCCATGCAGGTTCTTGGCTCAGGACATGGCTGGTTTGGCTCTATAGGGTCTCCCATGGTACATGTCCCGCCCACCACCTGACACTCAAGCCTGGAGCCAGCTGAGGTCCTGCCGGCTGGGCCCTCACCATCTTGGTGTAGAGGGCCCGGATGGAGGGGCTGCCTACAAGGAGCTCTGAGATCTCCCCCTTCTTCTCCTCCAAGCAGAACTCGCAAAGCCAGGCGTCAAACAATTCCGGGGGCCCTGCAGAGGGACAGACGCTGATGGTCAGTTCCCTGGGTCTGGGCAAGAATGATGGACCTATAGAATGTACTTGAGCCTGGACTTGCGCAACGGGGAAAATGTAAGGGTTTTTCAGTCACTTGGCCCATGATGGTGAGGTCAGGTAGGGTGAAGGGGTGGCTGGCCCTACTGGGATCAAGGTGTGGCAAGAAAGGACACTGTCTCCACTTCCTCATACCCCTGCTGGCATCAGCACCCACTGCACCTGGCTGCTGAGCCTCCACTCCAACAGGTATTCTCAGTGCACACACTCTGTCCACCCTCATGTGACTGCGCTACCATTGTTACTGGGAGTCCCTGCCTTCCTCTGGATGTCCACCTCTCCCTGCTTTTGTGGTATTTTTTGCCTTTCTTCTGCGTCTCTGGTTGTTCCAAGTCTTCATGGGCTGCTAGTTTTCCTTTCCTTCTCTAATCTCTTAATACATTCCATTTCCTCCCAAGATAATCTACATTAAGTCATGTTTTAATCCTGTCCTTCCACTGGCCATTCTTGCGTCTCTCTGCAACCCAGACTACCTTCTAGGGCTGCAGGTATAGTTGCATATGCAACATGTGGTCATTTTTCTTTCCACACAGTTATCCATCGGAAACTGGGGGCCATCCTAGACTTCCCCTTTATCTACTTGCTAGTTTTTGAGACAGGTCTCACTATGTAGCCCAGATGGTCTTTAACTCATGGTGATGATCCTGCCTCAGCTTCGCAAGTGCTGGATTTATAGGTATGTGTCACCATGCCCAGCTCCATTTGCTCTGACCCTACTTCCTCAGTGTTTCTTTGCATTCTGTCCTCTCTGAATAGGCTCTGGCCTTATCTTTAAGTCAAGGCAATCCTCCTGCCTCAACCTCTTAAGTGCTAGGATTACAGGCATGTACCATCATGTTCAGTTATGGAGGGTTTTTTCTCTTTTTTTCTTTTGGTACTGGGAATCCAACTTAGGGTCTCACAGTTACCAGGCAGGCACTGTGCTGCTGAGCTACATCCCCAGCCTGGAAGGATATATTTTTTTGGTACCGGTGATCAAACTCATAACTGCACGCTTGCAAGGCAGGCACTTATGCCGCTGAGCTAAATCCCCAGCCCCCTGGAAGGATTTTTTAAACTGGGATCCACAGATGATCTTTAAAGGGTAAAAGAATCCCGTATTGCACAAAAATTTTGTGGCGAGGAGGCTTGTCATTTTCTTTCTTTCTTTTTTTTTTTGTCTTTTTCATTTTTATCGGTACCAGGGATCGAACTCACGACTGCCTGCTTGCAAGGCAGGTGCTTATGCCGCTGAGCTAAATCCCCAGCCCCCGAGGCTTGTCATTTTCAACACGTTTTTAAAGGTCTTTTTTTTTTCCCTAAAAAGATCTAGAATCAATACTGTGAGCTTTTTAGGATGAAATTCAATGCTTAGTATGGCACACAAAACTTTATCAAGCATCAGTGCTTTGGCTGCCTTTACTCTGACACACATACTCTTTAATCCAGTGTTACCAAAAATCTAGAGGTTCCTGTTCTTCCTGGACTTCCACATATGCTATTGCCTTTTCTTGGTAGTCTGTACTTCAAAAAGTAAAACTAGTCTACTCGTGATTCATTCTTTTTTTTTTTTTTGTCTTTTTCTTTTTTATCGGTACTGGGGATGGAACTCACGACCACACACTTGCAAGACAGGTGCTTATGCTGCTGAGTTAAATCCCCAGCCCCTATTTTTTTTTTTGTCTTTTGTGATTCATTCTTATTGTTTTTTCTTTTATCAGAGGTTTTTTTTTTTTTTTTTTTTGTCTTTTTACGTTTTATTGGTACCAGGGATCGAACTCACAAATGCCTGCTTGCAAGGCAGGCGCTTAAGTCGCTGAGCTAAATCCCCAGCCCCTGTGATTCATTCTTAAAATCTCAATTCAAGTGTCACTTCCTGGGCTCCTCCGGCTGGTTAAGGTATCGCTCCTTTGCCTGTCTTTTATCACAAGCAGTCATTCCACTCTTTACTAGTTCTGCTTTATTCCCTCTTTGCTGGTTCTCTCCTAATAGCCTCATCCTGAAGGGCTGGGTCACATGGAGGGCTTGACTCATTTCTGATCTTTTGTTCTGGTAAGGGACTCCATGTGTGGCAGGGTCTAAGTGAACAGGGGGTGATGGCGGGAAGATAGACAGGTTGGAGGGCTGGGAAGGAGACTGAGCAGAGAGAATGTGGGACCAGAGAAACAAAATCTCTGCAGATGACAGAGTTGGAGTGAAGCCAGCTAGGGTTCAGGGAGAAGTGACCATCCATCATCCATCCTAGACAGCATCCTAGAGTCTTACTCTAGTCCATCTCCACAGTGGGTCTTTGGCTTCAGCTGACTGAGGCAAACAGGGTACACCCCAATGTCCACTTAGTTGATTTGCCCCCCAAGCCTACCCCCTCTGTGATCCCCTCACCATCAGGTTCGTTGCAGTAGGTTGCTGGGTCTGACTGCAGGCTGTAAAGGCGAGCCTGTAAACAGAGAAAAGATTCTGGGGTGCTGGGCATAGAAAGCACTCTGTCTCCGCAGAGTGCTACAACCCTGCTTCTTCTTTGCAGAAACCTATCAACACTGGGGCGGGCCTAGTCCAAAAATAGCCTCCTACTAACCCACTCTCTGGGAACTAAGGAAATATAGTATACACAGGTTACAAAATTATATGTATAAAATGCTTCTAAACTTTATGTGAAATTTAAAAAATATCAAGGACAAATATATTATAAAGTTCAGCTTCAGAGGCAAATTGTTAAATAATGTAATTACCTCAAAATTAAAAGCATTAATCAGAAGTTCTTAGCTGGATGTGGCTAGCACACACACCTGTAATTCCAGCACTCTGGGAGGCTGAAACAGGGGGAATACAAATTACAGCCCACCTGGGGCAACTTAGTAAGACTGTCTCACAAAAATAAATAAGCAAATAAATAGGCTGGACATGTAGCTCAGTGTGAAGGCCTTGGTTTCAAACCCTAGTACTGCAAACACAGATATCTTGGGCTGCAGGTATAGCTTAGTAGTATAGTGCTTGTTTAGCATACATAAGGCCAGTGTTTATAACCTCAGTACTGCCACCACCCAAAAAACAAAAACAAAAAACTCCCTTAAATTTTGTAGCTTGTCTGCCAAGTAAATTGTAAACAGTGCTCCTACTAGGGTCACAGACATGCAAACTTCAGCTGATAAGAAGAAATCCCCACTCCTGCCCCATTATATGGATACATTACTATTTCTGTATGCATCAGAATTCAGCAAGGGGGGCTGGGGATTTAGCTCAGCAGCATAAGTGCCTGCCTGGCAAGCATCAAGTTGTGAGTTCGATCCCCCATACAAAAAAAAAAAAAAAGAATTTCAGCAAGTGATTTTGGTGATGAGTCGTTATTTAAAATCTTATTTAATAATTACTACAATACCACATGTTCACTCAGTGGTGGTAATAACACTGGTGCTGAAAACAGCCTTGAAAAATCAGTATGTCTGGAAAGTCAGTACGATCAAATGCTACAAAGAAGGCCCAAATGCCATGACACCACACTGAGAATTAGGAGAAAATGATCCATGAAAGAGAAGTGATGATGAAAGAATAAAATGTGGCACAAATAACCACCATTGTTGATTTAAGTGCTCTGAAGACACCATTTCTGCCTACACAATCATTTGTAGCAGAAATTAATCTTCTTTGTTGTGAGATAGGGTCTTGCTGTGCTGCCCAGGTTGGCCTTGAACTTGTGATCTTCCTGCTTTAGCCTCCTGAGTTACTGAGACTGCAAGTGTGGGCCACTGCATCTGGCTTGGAAATTAGTCTTAACTGAGATATGGAAAAAATGATGCCTCCAAAGGCTCTCTGCAATGTGCTTACAAAGATGAAAGCTGGGGCTGGGGATTTAGCTCAGCGGCATAAGTGCCTGCCTTGCAAGCACGCAGTCGTGAGTTTGATCCCTGGTATCGATAAAAAAAAAAAAAGAGAGAGGAAGAAAAAAAAAAAGATGAAAGCTGAAAGGAATCCAAATGTGACATTCACTTGTAAGAAAAATTTTTGTCTTTTTTTGAGACAGGGTCTTGCTATTGCTATGCAGTTCAGGCTGGCACTGCGCTGTGTAGCCCAGGCTAGTTTCAAATTTGTAGCAGTTCTGCAATTCTCCTGCTTCAACCTCCTGAATGCTAGAATTATAGGCATGTGCTACCATACCTGGCTTTACTTGTGAGAATTTTAAGAGATTAAAAGTGATAGTGATTAGTACCAGGGATCAAACTCATAACTTTATGCTTGCCAGGCAGGCCCTTTGCCAGCAAGCTAAATCTTGGTCCCATTGGGGCTGGAGATTTAGCTCAGCAGCATAAGCGTCTGCCTTGAAAGCAGGCAGTCGTGAGTTCAATCCCTGGTACCGATAAAAATGAAAAAGACAAAAAAAATATGAAATGAATCTTGGTCCCATTAAGGTACATTTTTTAGAAAACATACTACAAAGTTGCATTTATAAAGTAGTTATTTTGTGAAAAAGAAAAACCCTGTAACCCTAGGGGGGTTGAGGTAGGAGGATTTAAACTTCAAGGACCCTGTCTCAAAATGGAAAAAAATTTTAAAATGTGTGGGGATATAACTCAGGAGTAGAGTGCCCCTGGGCGCAATCCTTAGTACTTCAAATAAACAAACATAAAATGCAAAACATGTTTACTTATATCAGCAAATAAAAACAAATGGAAGAGTTGGGTATGGTGGTGGATGCCTCTAATCCCAGCAGTCAGGAGACTGAGGCAAGAGGATCTGTGAACTTGAGGCCAGCCTGGGCTACCTAGTGAATTTTTAGGGTCGGGCATTTAGCTCACTGGTGCATTGCCTGCCTGGCACGTGTGAGGTCCTGAGTATGATTCCCAGTACCAGCCCCTTCCAAATACCAAAGGCCCCCAAATAACAAATGGAAGGTTATATATCAACAAGGAGTCAGAGTGTTTTTGTATGATAGGATTAGGGGTTTAGAAATACAGTAATTCTGTTTTTCTTGTTGGGGTTCTCCAATTTAGTTACATACATGTATTTGTTTGGCTTGAACATGAGCTGCTGTTGTAAACAGAAGCTGCAATCTAGGCTGTGCGTAGTGCTGCACACCTGTAATCCCAACATAAGGAGGCGGAGGCAGAAGGATTTCCATACATCTAAGGCCTGCCTGGGGTACATAGTAAAACCCTATCTTAAAAAATAAATAAATAAACAAACAAACAAACATTGGATGCTAAAGCCAACCATCTGTAGGGGAGGCTGCTGGTGAATACCTTGGTGCCATCATAGGGCTCAGCTGTGCCAGAGGGTGTGCCCATCAGGGTGATCACATCACAGTCGATGGTTTTATCTGGCGAGGGGGCAAAGGTGTCTGAGATCACCCCGAGGAAGTCTGACAATCCCTTCTTCATTTTTTCTGTTGCTCCTGAGGAGCCTTCAGTCTGTGGAGAGAATCAAGAGCGAAGCAATGCTCCAGGAACAGACTGAAATCTAGGAAATGAGGGTGGGTTGGGAGCAGGTGGGGAGCATCAGGGCAAGGGTGTACTATACGTGGGGACCCAGGAAATGTCCACAGGTCCTTCACCTCATCTCAGGGGCTGAAGAGACAGAACAGCCAAACCCTTTCTCCACCAGTTGGAGTTGCCTAACAGGGCTGTGGCAGGCCTGGAGAGGTCAAGGCAGAGATTCTTAACTGTTTTATCAACATGTCAAGGCCAATCAGGCTGGCACATGCCTGGAACCCCAAGAACTCTGGAGGTCGAGAAAGAGGACTACTGTGTGTTCAAGCCCAGCCTAGGGCACATAATGAATTCAAGGTCAGCCTGCACTACATAGTGATACCCTGTCTCAACCCCATTGTCCCAGAAAGGGGCCAGAATAAGATGGGCATAGTGGTGACACCAGTAATCTAGCATGTACGAGGCCCAGGCATAAAGATCAGCACAGGTTCAAGGTCAGCCTGGTCTACACTGTGAGTCTGAAACCAGCCTAGACTTCATAGTAAGACTCTTGTCTGTGAAAAAAAAAAGGCAAGAGTGAGTAGACCCATGTCATAGACATTTCAGCAGGGAAAAGGGCTACGAGTAGGTAATGTGTTACAAAAGGCATGAGCTTTGGAATAGGACATGGAATTGGATTCCAGATGTAATAGCTGGTTATGAGACACAAAGCCTCTCTGGGCCTGTGTCCTAATTTGTAAAACGCAGATAAATATACATTATTCATAGGATTATGGTGCAAACTAAAAGGCATAGGCAATACCTAGCACAATGAAATACGTAGTAAGTAGCAGAACTGTAATGTTACAATTCCATCATCATCATTTAGGAAGTGTATTTTGTGCTGGGTGCGAAAGGCTGAGGAAATATGAGTAGGATAAGAACAGATAGCCTTGGGGCTGGGGATTTAGCTCAGTGGCATAAGCACCTGCCTTGCAAGCAGGCGGTCATGAGTTCGATCCCTGGTACCGATAAAAAGTTAAAAAAAAGTTAAAAAAAAGTTAAAAAAAAAAAAAAAAAAAGGGACCTGGAAACCAGTCAAGGATCAGCACATGGAAAGGGCAGGTGGGACAACAAATATGCACCATACGGGTCAGTATGATCTCTAGTAAGCAGGTCACGGTCCAGCTACCTTGTGGGAAACTAAGATACCTTGATTAAGCTTCCCAGGCATTTTTTTTTTTTTTTGTCTTTTTCCTTTTTATCCGTATCAGGGATTGAACTCACAACTGCCTGCTTATAAGGCAGACGCTTATGCCGCTGAGCTAAATCCCCGGCCCTAGCTTCCCAGGCATATTAAACCTAGAACTTGTCACAGTGTATAGCACATATCGCTACAGCTATACAATCATATTTGTTGAATGAAAAAGATAAATAAATAAATAAGTGGTATTTCTTCTACTGGCTAGACTTACAATAGTTTGGCATGGTTAGTATTTTGTCTTTCATGCACCTCAGTAGCTGTGGTTAGCAAATAGTGTTTTGTAAAAGGATTTAGTAAAATAAACTTGTTATGAAAACCCACCAGACTTACTTGCCTGACTTCATTCCTTCCTTCCTGTTTTCCTTTTTTTTTTTTTTTTTAAAAAACTGGGCATGTGGGGTTGGGGATTTAACTTAGCAGCCTAAGCACCTGCCTGGCAAAGGCAAGGTCATGAGTTTGATCCCTGGCACCAAAAAAAAAAAAAAAAAAGAGAGAGAAAGAAACTGGGTGTTGTTCAAGTCACTCAGGCTGGTGTTCAATTTCTGGGCTCAAGAGATATGCCTGGCCTCCTGAATAGCTGGTATTACAGATATACTTCACTGGGCCCAGCTCAAAATTTGTTTTTCATAACATGACCTTTAATCTCAAGGTGACTGATTCAGTTGTTCATCAAATGAAGAAACTATAATCTGTCCCAAGCTAACAAAAAACCTAATATAAATTCAAGTAAACTGTACTTCACTGGAAAAGTAAGAGATATTCAGGGATATCTTTTGACTGTCCACATTTTTCATCGTTCACACTGACTTTAGGATTTTACTGTACATGTATAACTAATAAGAGGAGGGCCATTGAAGAATATAAATTAGCACAAAACAAGTATGATTGAAATAAGAAAGAATATTTTCTTGCTGGGTGTAGTGATGCACGCTTATAATCCTAGCTACCAAAGTAAGAGGATCCTAAATTCATGACCAATCTAGAGAAAGTAGTAAGAACTTGCCATAAAATAAAAGGGTAAAGAGACAATGGGAAAATATTTAGCAAACAGAATGCTGACTGCAGCTCTGTATATAAAACTAGAAAAACTGAAATAGGAAAGTAGGAACTAGTTAACTCCATGTAATACAACTGATGCTATTTGAATGTCATTTGCAGAATGAAGTTTACAATGATTAAATAAAAATGTGGGTTAAAAAACAGTTTTTAGGGGTCAGGGATTTAGTTCAGTGTCGTAAACACCTGGGCCCGGCAAGCGTGAGGTTGTAAATTTGATCCTCAATAACAAACAAAACAACACAACAGTTTTCGGTTGATCCTTTTTTTGTGTGTCTTTTTTGAGACAGAGTTTCACTATACAGTTCAGGGTGGTCTTAAATTCACTTAGTAACTTAGGCTGGCCTCAAACTCATAATGATCCAATGATCCTCCTGCCTCAGTCTCTGTAGTGCTGGTACTACAGGCAGGCACCACCATGCTCGGCGTTCCACTTTTAAAGAAGAACAGGTATACAGGAATATAGCCCCAAAAGAGTTAACAACAACTCTGGGATATAGAAGTATGGATAGGTCCAGGTCAGTCTTGTCTTTACTTTCTTTCTTTTGCTTAAGTGTATTTTCTAAATTTTCTACAATGAATGACTTTATTGTTGGAAAACATTTGCTAAAATAACAACCATTTACATCTATATGCTCGACAAACACAGTTCTTCCAGAATGAGAGGAAAAACCAATCTTCATATTTGCCCAGTCACCTGATAGAACAGGTGGAGTCTCCCAGGGTCTCAGGACAGGTCAGGCTGAGAGGTGTGGGCCAGTACTCACGGTCAGCTTCTCCTTGACCACGCTGGCTGTGGCTGCGATGGTACATGCAGTGTCATGCTGTACGACCTGGGTAAACTCCGCCAGGTCCCGCTTCATAAACTCCAAAGCTTCCGAGGACTATGGGAAGACGGAGAAGGGTAACAGAGCCGGTTTGTCCCCTGTGCTCTTTCAGTAACAGACATACACATAGAACTCTCAAAAGACACAGGAGCCCTCACCTAGAATTTTTAAAACATATGTTTGACTGTTTGGTGAATTTTTTACTTTCATTAGCCCAGGAAGTCTGTGAGTGGCAGAGTTTCATGTGTAAGTCAGAGGCTTCTTAGTGGATGGGAAAGGAACCATGCCTCTACATCAGATTCTGGATCCCTACATGTGGCATAGAGGGGAAATTTATTTATTTATTTATTTATATCATGTAGTCTCAGACATGGAGCTCCATTCTGTTCATTTGCATTCCTACCTCCTTAGTCCAGCCAATCTGTTCTCCCATTTGGAATCTTACCAGATGGAAGGTATCAGATACTTTTATTATAGTGGGTGCTCTCTTGGTCAGAGTTGACCAAATTGCCTCCTGCTCTACATTCTTCAGTTTACATACTGCCCTGAGAGCAAGTATAAACTCTTTACCTTCACTCACAAGGCCTGTAAAACCCAGCTCCTGCCAAATTTGTATTCTTAGCACTACGTACCTTTACTGAACTCCAACTGTCTTCCTCAAGTTTCCCAAATGTCCTAGCATCTTCCTTACCTCTGGTAGCTAGAACACATCATCCTTCTCCCTGTAGATACTTCAAATCTTCAGAACAAATAAGCCAGTACACTGAATGACCTTTCACTTGGCTTTTATTTTCTGTCTTTTTGAGACAGGGTCTCACTAGGCAGTTCAAGCTGGTCTTGAGCTCATTTTGTAATCCAGGCTAGTTTTGAACTTGCAACGATCCTCCTGCCTCAGTCTCCCAAGTGCTGGGATTACAGGCATGAGCCACCACACTCGGCTTTTTCACTGCTTAACTCTTGTTCACGTTTCAGGGCTTCGCTTTCATGTCACCTCCACAGAGCAGTTTCCTTGCTTTACTTGTTCTTTCACATTTGCATACTTTAGGCTGTACATTACTCAGTTTGACTCTTCCTAGGTGAACTGGGACTTCCATGAACACAGAGCCCATGTATTTTGTTCACTGATGATTTCCTAGCGTCTGACACAAAACATCCATGTCTCAGAGCAATTTTAATTATATAACTACCTATATGACTATTTAATGTTTGGTTATCTTTTCCACTAGACTCTTTTAAGTGCTGAATAGACAAACATCAACATGTATGGTACTTGCCCTCAAGAAGGTCACAGACTACTAGGGTAAATGCTCACATAATAGTTTGATATGCAAGGGCAGAGCCGTAGCTGGAATGTTACGAGGTTGGGAAGATTTGGAGAGTGGAAGTTTGGATTCAGCTCTTAAGAATAAACAGGAATAGGGCCGGGGATTTAGCTCAGCGGCATGTGAGCGCCTGCCTTGCAAGCAGGCAGTCGTGAGTTCGATCCCTGGTGCCGATAAAAAGGAAAAAGACAAAAAAAAAAAAAAAAAAAAAAAAAAAAAAAAAAAAAAGAATAAACAGGAATTTACTAAGGAAGTCTTGAGGTTTACTGAATGTTATATACATTTTAGTGCTGATAAACATGAAATGTGAAGCAGAAAAAGTGAGTAATAAAGCTGGAGAGGTTACTGAGGGCAAATATAAGGAGCTATCAAAGGTTTAAAGCAGGTGGGATTTTCACTTTTATAAGTCCTTCTAGTGACTGGAATGGAGGATAAGTACAAGGGTGACAAGATTTCAAAAGAGGAAGACTAGTTAGAAGGCTACTGGAATAATCCAGTAAAGAAAATATAAGAATATGAATAAGAATAAAGCTGATAAAGATGGAAAAGATGGGATCAATTAAAAAAATACTAGGTAAAAAGGTAAGTATGTAGATATGTTGACCAAAGGCAGGGAAAGAATCAAGGAAGAGCCAGTGGTTGCTAAAATAGGTGACTGGCTAGATACAAGCCTGCCAGCTAAATGAGAAAATACTGAAGGAAGAACACGTTTGCAGAAAAGATTGTGGTAATGACTTTGGGCATGAAAATCTGAGGCGATCATGGGTGTTCTGGGCTAATTGTCAATCAGGAGCTAGCTTCAAACAACAAAGCTCAGGAAAAAAGAAGTAGATGTCACCTTAACTTGAAGGGAAGGAGATCACCCAGGAAGATTCTTGAAGAGTGAAAAGAGGAGTGTGCTGAGAGGACTTCATGAGCAGTTAGGAAAGTCTGGAGAAGTGCAGGGAGAATTGAGAGGGTACCATGTCACAAAAGCCAAAAGCAGTTTCAAGAAAAGGGAATGCTCACTAGTGTCAAGCACAACAGACAGGTCCAGAAAGATAAAAGTCGAAAACACCCACTGGATGTGCCATGTGGTAAGTGAAGCTGAATGTGACTGTAGATAAGGTTATAGGTAGTGGCTTTAGGGAAGGAAAGGAATTAAACAATATCATGCTTACTGACTTCAAATTTTAAAAGTATGTGAGGTTTTCTGCTGGAAATGAAAAAGACATCTGAAGTCAAGGGGAGGAAAAGCAAATTAGACTGAAAAGGGATCCTGGGAAGAGCTCAGGCCCAGAAGAGAGTGGGGAATTTACAGCGCAGCAAAGAACATGTGCCCATCTCTATCAGTATATATATACAAAAAGCACTTGTGTGCACACAGGAGGATGCAAAAGGAGAGTAAGACAGATTATAGCACCATCCGAGTTGATGGTTCTAAGCTCATTAAGTGAGTATAAGGAACTTTGGTTCAGACAGAGCCAGGATAGGATGTAAGGAAAGAAAAGTACCAAAAAACAAACAAACAAAAAAAGGACAAATGTACTGGTGACAGTGCCTAAAGGCTTCCTCATCACCCTAAGCATGTAACGAAAATAGTTAACACTTACATGATACTTAATGTTGTTAGTTCTCTATATTATCATTTAAACCCCATCACAATCCCCAGGGGTAGATACTATGTTCATGTTACAGCAGGGAAACTGAGGCCCAGAGAGGTAAAGAAACTTGTGTGTGTTTATATAACCATAATCAGCAAAGAGGAGAAAATTAAGTCTCTTTCTAAAAGAAGAGAAACACCCATCACTGCTCCCCTCCCCACAATTCAAATTGAGAATTCCCCAAGAACAAATATGGAAAGCCGACTAAGTACCTATTCTCATGAGTTATAGTAAATCCCAACCCTGAGAGAAACACACACATGACCTCATGTAACACTTGCTGAATGCACGCTGCACTTTTCTCTTAGTTGTCCCTGAGCTCTAACAGAGACAGTGCAGGGCATTCTTAGATTTGCTGGGCTATAATATAGAGGCTGTTCAAGAGTACACAGGTTGAGGGGGAAAGAATGCTCCCAGAGTAGGGGGGCTGACTTGACTAAGGTCAGAAGTCTCCTGGAGTCTGCCCTAAAGCAAGACTCTTCCCTGAGTTGCTTGAGGTAAACAGTAATTAGTTTTCCACTATTACTTAGCAAGGCCAAGCATCATTCATCCAATAAGCATTGCTTCGCTAGCTATTCAAGGCCCTCCACCACTTATCGCCTCTTCCTCTTCATAAGCCTCTCACTTAGAATTCATCAGGCACCAATGCATAGGGCTCATGCTTATTTTTGACCTAGGTTCTTCCTTTCAGCCTGTCTAGTCAGGGTTGGCCTGGATGGGCTACCTTCCCCACAACACTTTCTTTGGCATGTTCTTGACTGCCAGACTAGACAAGGAACTCAGTCCTTTCAGATTAGGCATTTACCACAAAAGTAGTTAGACAGCTCTTTGACTACTTGGTTTTACCCCACTGGGCTTTGAGGCCCAGAAATATGCCTGTTTAGCCTAGCAGTAATGGTGAATGTTTTAGAACTTTCAATGATACAGTCGACCAAATATTAAATATTGCACATGTACCATAGGTTGGCCACTATTGAAGATTCCTATCTTTAGGATCTGTTGGAGTGCACTGATTGTGCCATACATGTACTATAATGTCTGAATGACTATCAGAGTAAGTTTTTTTTTTTATTCTTACAATCCTTCTTCAAAGCCTAATGTTCTTTTATCTTGTTTTGAAACAGGTCTCGCTATGTACCTCAGGCTGGTCTAGAACTCGCGGTAATTCTTACGCACCAGCCTCCAGCGTGTAGAGACTACAGCCACCACACCAGGCCAAATGTTTTTTATTTCACAAGGAAGCTTTCTATCTACCAAGCTGTAATTGCTCCTATGCGTTCTTAGGAAATGGTCGTTCCAGTTTTCAAAACGGTCGTCATTTCGCTGCGGCTACTATTATGCCTGTCTGCGTAGGGACCTCCTAGGCCAGAAAGAGCTAAAAGTAGGGCTCACGTCGGCCTCAGGGAGGTGTGGGCCACGCAAAAGCCGGGAAAGGCAGGTTGGACCTGGCTGCCATGAGGCGTCGTGGGGCCCGGCCGCGGGGAAGAGCGTGCTGGCCCGGCTTACCTTCTCTTTGACTGCCTGGTAGCTCTGTTGTAGCCAGCTCCGCCACCATCCCACGTCCTCCCTGTGGAACACAGACACATCTGTCGGCCCTGGAGTGCGACTCGTTCCCGCTCAATGGTCAGGTCTGTTTCCCCCTTGGACATGGCCCGCGGACGGAGGTTTCCCAGGCCGCTTCCCTGCCCCCTCACCTACAGCTCCACTCTGCCTTTTCTGTTCCGTCCATGCCCGTACTGACTTCCTGTTCCCCTGGGGACCCTGGCCCAGCACCCGAACCCTGGGAGAATTCAGGCCCCAACTCCTGGGAGCGGAATGACGGGCTCACCCTTCCGCCATCTTGCCTGCATGACATCACCACTATTTACCGACCTTTGACTTCCGGCACGGCCCCGCCCCCTTAAGCCCCGCCCCGAAGCGCGCTGCTCAATACTTGTGCCAGCCCAATCTCCGCCCCGCTCCACATTAAGCCCTCCCTCCCTGGGCTCTGTCCAGTCTCAATCCCGAGTTCTCCTTTAAACCCCGCCTCTGAACTCTCGTTCCAATCGTTATTCAGGCCTGTCCTCGGGCCCCACCCCCACCAGCTTCAATTCTTTCACCACAGTCACGGACTTCCAATACGGTGGCCTCTGTGGGCCTTGTTTGACTGATTTACTGGATGGCGAATAAAGAGTAAAGAAGAGGAGAGGAAGGGTTCAGGAGCTTAAACACCTGGCTCACAGAACGCAAAACTAGGACCGCCCCCCTTTGTGAAACCGCCTACATAGCGGCTGTTAGTTGTCTTTGGGCTGACTGAACACGTGGTGACGGCTGGCCTACTGGCCAGAGTTTGGAGATGGAAAATGTAGAGGCAATCTCTGGGGACTTTCAGGAGTCGCTATCAAAAAACAACACGAACTAGGCAGTGATCAGGAGAAATTCGGCAACGGCCTGGATGAGGGAGATAGAGTCCATTGAGTTGAGGGGTTCCAGGGCGCCAGTCGTCTCATCTGTCGTCATCTGTGCCATATTTTGCCTTCTTTCCTTGAAGGATGCACTTTAGCTAAGGTCAACCCCTCTGTTTGATCCCTTCTCTTTATCTAACGAAGTTTGTAGCTCTAGTAATTCTCCCACTGCACCCTTCCCTGTCTCGTCTTCCCCCTCCTTTAAGAGATTATTCCTATCATCTATCATCCTACATGGTGTTACTTCTATCTTAAACGAAACAAAAAACAATCTTGTCTTGGGACCCCATATCAATTTCCTACTTCCTTTAACAGCAAAATTCCTGAGTTGCCTATACTGTCCAGTTTCCTTCTTCGTTGGACTCCCTGCAGTCAGGATTTTGCTTCTCCACAACCCAGTGAAATCCAGAGTGATTAGCTCTTCAAGACCAATGACCAATTTTAAGTTCTCTTACTTTAATGGTAAGCATCTAACATGAAATAGTTGGCCATTTCCTCCTCCTCCAAAGACTTTCTTCACTTGGCTTCTAGGATGCAGTACCCTCCTGACTTCCTCTTACTTCTTGGACATCACCTTAGTGTTCTTTGGTCTTATTCTGGAATATCCCAGAGCTCAAACCCTATTTCCATTTTCTATGTCTGCAATCATTATTCAGGTCATTTCTTCAAATTTATTATTTATTTCCACATGCTGCCAACTCTCAAATTTCCTATGGGATTCAAATATCTGTGAACAGACTCACATTTGGACATGTAGTGCACATATTCAACTTAACAAGTTTCAAAACAAATTTCTGATACTAAAATTTCTTGCAAACTTTCCCATATCCATAAATGGCAACTTCATTCTTCCAGTTTTTCAAGCTAAAAACCTGGAGTTATCATTGATTCCTCACATCCTTTTGTACTAAAAAGCTAATCCTTCAGTAAATCCAGTTGACTTTGCCTTTAAAACAAAAACAGCTAGGGATTTAGCTCAGCGGCATAAGCATCTGCCTTGCAAGTGGTGAGTTTGATCCCTGGTACCGGTAAAAAACAAACGAACCAGAATTAGTCACTTCACTTCCCCTAATGATACTAGATCCAACCTACTATCATTCGATCATAAGAGCCTCTTAAAACTCATCTCTGTATTCACTTTTACTTTCCATAAATCTCAGTTGTTCTAGAAGAAATTTTTAAAAACAAATTAGGTTGGGCGTGGTGGTGAATGCTTGTATTCCCAACACTTGGAGGCTGAGGCAGGAGGATTGCTGTGCGTTCAAGGCCAACCTGGGTTAGTGTCTAAATAAATAAATAAATACAGTACAATACAGTACTGTGTCTGTTACACAGTGGTGCATGCTGGTAATCCTATTCACTCGCGGAGCTAAGGCAGGAGGATTGTAAATTCAATGTCAGCCTGGGCAGTTTAGCAAGACTATCAAAATAAAAAAAGTACTGAATGCCCTGTAATACTTTCATTCTCTTTAATGGTTTTATACTATTTTGTTATGTTTGATACTATTGTGTATGAAAGTATGCTCAACTATTCAAAGAAAGAGACATTATGGTAGCTACTGTTATATCCGGTTGTCTTGTGATAAAATACTGTGTTGCTTAAATTGTTCTGTGCTAATCTGCTTTGTTATGTTAAGATAAAAGATTATCTTAATCTCTAAAATAAAAAAATAAAGAGGGTTGAGGAAGGGCTGGAGGTTTAGCTCAGTGGCATTAGCACCTGCCTGGCAAGTGTGAGGTTGTGAGTTCAATCCTTGGTTCAATCCTAAATTGGGGCTGAAGCACAGTGATACAAATTTGTAATCCCAGCACACTTAGAAGTAGAGTGAGGAGGATTACAAACTCAAGACTGGCCTGCTATCTTAGAGACTTAGCAAGACCCTGTCTCAAAATAAAAAGATAAAAAGATAGCTGGGAACATAGCTCAGTGCAAAGACACTGGCTCAATCCTCAGTACAAGTGTGTGTGTAAGGGGAATCAAAACCAAGCTAGTGGGAACGTAAATGGTGCAGTTGTTATTGGAGCACAGAATGGTGTTTCCTCAAAAAATTAAACATAGAATTTTCACATGCATTAGCTTTTCATTACTATGACCAAACACCTGAGGAGAAGAAAGAGGAAGCTTAAAAGAGGAATGACTTATTTTGGCTCTTGGTTTCAGATATTTCAGTGCATGGTTGCCTGGCTCCACTGCTTTTAAACTCATGTGGGGGGGAGAAACATCATGGTCAAAGGGCATGGCAGGGGAGGGATGCTTACTTCTTGGAAGCCAGAAAGCAGAAAGGAAGTGAAATAGTCCAAAACAAAGGGGCTAGAAACAAGATATAGGCCTCAAGATCACACTCCTATTATCCACCCTTCAACTAGGCCCTGCCTCTGTTTCCATCACCTCTTTCAAATTATGATTAATCCACCAATGAAGTTAAAACACTCGTGATCCAGTCACTAGGTCCTAACTCTGAACAGTGTTGCCTGGTTGATCAAACTTTCAATACATGAGTCTTTGGGGAACACTTCATATTTTTTTTTCTTTTTTTTAGTATCAGATTTCATTTTTTTTTTTTTCATTTTTATCGGTACCGGGGATCAAACTCACGACTGCCTGCTTGCAAGGCAGGCACTTATGCCGCTGAGCTAAACCCCCAGCCCCGAGTATCAGATTTCAAAAAACACAGTTATTGGTATATTTCTTATATACATAATGATCATACTCAGTATAGTTATACCTGTACATGATATATTTTGATTCCTCTTTTTCCCCAATTCTCTCTCCTCCCTTAAACCCATCTTCCCTTTCCTATTTACAAAACTTTCTATCCATTTTATCTTAAAAATGTTTTTCCTTTTCTTTTCCTTTCCTCCTTTTCCTACCCTAGCTCTTCTTTCCTTTCTTTACATTTTTCAGTATCTTTTAACCTCATTTACTCTTTCAATTTCTTACATCAAGGAGACAATGTGATGTTTGCACATGTGAGTATGATTTATTTCACTTAAGAGTATGGTCTCAAGTTGCATCCATTTACCTGGAAATGTCTCAAGCTTATTCTTTTTTATGGCTGAGTAGTACTCAAATATATATATATATATATATATATATATATATATATATATCACATCTTATTTATCCATTCCTGGGTTCATAGGCACTTGAGTTGTTACCAAGATTTAGCTATTACAAACTGTGCTGCTATAAACATGGGTGCACATATATTGCTGTGGTACAGTGTTTTTCATTCTTCCAGGAAAATACCCAGAAGAGGAACAGCTGGGTCAAAAGGGACCTCTAATCCTAGTTTGAGGAATTTTCACACTGCTTTCCACAGTGGTTGAACCAGTCTACACTCCCACCAACAGCGGAGAAATGTTTCTTTTTCTAGACAGCTTCTTTAACATTTGTTATTGATTGATTTCTTGATAATAGCCATTCTTTCTGGAGTGAAATGGAATCTCAGCAATGTTTTAATTTGCATAGCTCTAGAACCAGTGACGTTGAGCAATGTTTCATATATTTATTTGCCATTTGTATTTCTTCACCTGAGAATTCATCTCAAATGCCCATTTCATATTCAATTTCAATTTTGTTTTTTTAAAATAATTTTCTTGAGGGGCTGGGGATTTAGCTCAGTGGCATAAGCACCTGCCTTGGAAGCAGGCAGTCGTGAGTTCGATCCCTGGTACCGATAAAAACGAAAAAGACAAAAAAAAAATTTTTTTTTTCTTGAAATAGGGTGTGGCTATGTAGTTCTGGTTGGCCTTGATTTCACTATGTAGTGCAGGCTGGCTTCCAACTCTAGGCAATCCTTTTCCCTTAGCTTCCCAATAGAGACCAGCAGAGTTACAGGCATGTACTATCATGCCTGGCTACTCTTCCTATTTAAGTCCTAACATCATATGATCCAGCAGCTCTCTTTCTGGATGTATACTTCAAAGAACTGAAAGCAGAGACTCAAACAGATATTTGTACACCTATGTTTATAATAGCATCATTCATAATAGCCAAAAATGGAAGCGAGCTGTGTCCATGGATGGATAAATGGATAAACAAAATGTAAAATATACTTACATGGAATATTCTTCAAACTTAAAAAAGAAAGAAATCCTGAAACATCCCACAGCATGGATGAAACTTGAAGACATTATTCAAAAGGAAATAAGCCACCACAAAAGGACAGCTATCATATGATATCATTTATATGAGGTACCCAGGGGGTCAAATTCATAGCAGTAGAAAGTAGAATGGTGCAACAGAGGAAGGGCTGGGGACTTTGGTTTAGTAGAGAGTTTCAGCAAGTTCTGGAGGTGGATGCTGGGTATGGCTGCACAGCAGTGTGAATATATGCAACACTGCTAAATAAAATAATTACATAGGGGCTGGGGATTTAGCTCAGTGGCATAAGCACCTGCCTACAAGC